ATAATTTCTATCCCTTTATTGAAAGTCTTTATTTGGTGAGATATTGAGATCATGATTTCCTTTAATTATTTACACATAGTTCCCTTTAATTATGTGAACATATCTATAATACCTTATTTAAAGGTTGGTTTTTTTTTGTTTTTTTTTGTAATTTCAGGTTCTGGGATCCTCAAAAGCAGTTTCTAATGACTGAATTTTATTCCTGCTATATATGTTATTTTCCTAGGTTTTTTTTGTGTGTCATTTGAGTTTTATTGAAAACTGAAAATTTTAGATAATAAAATGTGGCAACTCTAGAAATCAGATCCACCCCTTCCCCAACACCTTATTTTTGGCTGATCTTTGTTACTGCTATCTGTTTAGTGGCTTTCTTGGATTAATTCTATAAAGCACTGATTACTCCACTGTAGTATCCGATGACTAGTTTAATGGTCAGTTTAATGGTCAGTCAATGAATAGTCAAAGACTTTCTTAACTGCTTTGAACCAGTAACTCTTTTTCCCTTTGTTGAGAGGTTCTGTGTGAGAGGAAATGGAAAGACTGATAAATCTATTTAGGGATCATATGTTTAGTAGAAAATTTGATGGCATTTGAACCAGAGTGAGAAAGAGTTTATAGAAAATGAATGACATGAAAGGGAGAGCTAAAATCAGAGAACAATTTTGGAGCCAAGTGTACATCCACAGTCAGCAAGGGCTCTGAATACTGTAAGTAGCCTTTTTAACACCCACTGGATCTCTTCCTCCTTCCTAACAAAACCTTGTTTAATTCAGGTGTCCACTGGGTTTAAAAATATCTGATCTTTTCATGGCTCCAAGGGTTGATCTGTGAACATAAGGAAAATCTTATATCTTTATGTCAGTAGACATCAGACCCAACCAGAATGGCCTGCTAGGAGATTTCTAGAAGGTTATTGAGGGCTGATATGGAGGCTCAACAATATTGTGAGGCCCTACCCTCCACTCTAGTGAGGACTGCTGGCAGTCATCTTGTGCAGTAAGCTAGCACAAGGGCAAAGTTGGCCATGAGGGAAGTATAGAGACAAGAAAATCTTCCCCCTGATTAACTTCCTTTGAAATCTACCCCACTGCTTCTTTCACACGAGTCAATGAGTCAATCAAATTCATTGTTGTTTAAGCCAGGTTCAAGTTGTATTTGTGATACTTGAAGTTGAAAGCATATATATGTCCTAAAAGATACAGTAGGGAAATACACTCAAAAACAGAACAAGAAAAAGGATTAGATTAGAGGAGACTCAGAAGAGCTCAATGTGATACAATCCAAGACAGGGAGGAATTTTACAAAGGAAATAATCACTGGTAATGCTAAATGTAGTAGACTTATTAAGGAAGATGTTTCTTTTGTACTATTTCTGCTTTCAACATATAACCTCTTTAAATCAATCTGCATTCATTGTCACTAAACCAAGGGATTCAGTCTATAAAATACTCAATGGTTAACTGATGGCAACTACTTTACAATTGGATTATGATGATTACAGAGTATGCTTTTACAATGAAATACAGAATAAATGTGGTCAACTATATTGGAACTTTTATTTGGCCCAGGTAAACCAAATTTATCAGTGATGTCTACATTTTATTTAAGATAGTCTTTAACAAAAGCATTATGAAAAATTTAAAACATAAAACTAAAGTAGAAATCCTTCATATGCCTATCACAGACTCTAAAATTATCTTGTTTTTCCCTTCTCACTTCTACCAGAAGAGTGAATGGAGCTATAATGCCTGGCCATGATAACAGCCCACTAGTTCTACACCTATATAAATTTACCTTACCTGAATGGAAGTGGATCAAGGGAGAGGTATTTGCTAGACTATTGCTACCTGCAATTTACACCAGAACAGTACACATAGTCAAATCTAATACCCTTTCCAAACGTGGAAAAGTTTGGGTATAAATGAAAAGAAGGAAGATAGTAGTTTAGGGTAAGGGAATAAATAAATAGGATATACAATGAGGGAAGACAAATATTACATCAATATATCAACATAGGCTTAAGCAAAAGATGATATCATCTCTTAGTTCAATTATATCATTTTAGATGCCTGAAACGGTGACAGCATATACTTCTGCTTTTAGAACTAACTTGACACAATCTAATGAAGATCTGTATACATCACTGGCTGGCCTTACTCTGAGAGTCATTAATAACTCAATGAGACTTGAGTAATAAGCCTATATTATTAACTGTTATGATTCTTTTGTTATAAGGGATCTTGGCTAAAAACCAGGGAGATAGCCTGTGGTACAATAAAAACTATATTTGGTGTTTGTCCCTGTCCCAGGCACAGAGCTCCTAAAATCCTTGGATTTTGTGGGTCATAGAAGTTGTTTTTTATTATTAATTGAGAATCCCTCCCTTTTGAGTACACTTGGGTATGTGCTAATTAGATAACTTACTCTGGGGTCCCAAGATAACCTCAGAATGAGACAGGTTACCAGGAAGACCAGTGATTAGAGATTGGAACTCTCAGCTCCATCTACTGACTACTGAGAAGGGGAGGTGGTGCTGCATTCTAAGCCCTATAACAAACTCTTTAACAAGGTTTTATGAGTTTCTGGGTTGGTCAATGGTTTACAGGCCAGGAAGAGGCTTAGCCCAGTTCCATAAGGACAGAGTTCCTATGTTCAGGAACCTTCCAGGTCTCATTCCATGTAACTCTGCACCTGCCTGTTCATCTATGCCCTTTATAACATACCCTTTAATGGACTGGCACATGTAAGTTAATTCTTCTGAGTTCTTGAAGGTGAAATAATCGAAACAAATAATCAAAGCCAGGGAGAAGATCACAGCATCATTTGATTTCTAGTCAGTTGATCCAAGAGGCACAGAAGGAAACCTGAACTTGGGATTGGCACTGACATGGGGGCATACTTGTGGGTCTGAGTCCCCAACCTGTGTATGGGAGGAGGGTGTATCTATCAATATAATGTCACCAGGTAGGTAGTGTCTAAACTGAGTTACATTTGTAGAACACGTAGTCAGTGTCCACTGAAAATTGGAGAATTGCTTGATGGTGTTAGAAAACATACCTCAAAAAAGTAAAGTTAGTTGCTTGAAAATCAGAATATATTTTTTTTATAAACAAGGTATATATGGCAGATTCTCATACCACTGGAGCCTATTTAACCCTATTTAAAATAGATGCTGTAGTTTGTATTTTGAGTAAAACACAGTATCATTGAAACTATGAGTTAATCTTGCATTTTAATTGAATGTGTCTATGGAGGAGCTTACCAAAGCAATAGCAAACTTCTGACCAGTATCACCCAAATGACATAGTAAACATTTGCACAGTTTGGATTTAATCTACAAATACAAAAGTCTCCGTTTTTCATTTCTTTTTCAGTCATTAAGCTGTTAGAATCACTTACTTCTCTATCCTAGGTATCTGTCACAGCATTTTCGAAAAATATTTTTATCACATTTTATCACAGACAGGATCAGTGGTTCTCAAAGTATGTATCAGGTATACCTGGAAGCTCATTAGACACATTAAAGAGAATTATAACAATATAAAGCAACTCCAACTTTCTCACTTCATTTTTTGTTCTGAATATGTAATTACTTTTTAAAATTACTTAATATTAACATATGTAATGGAATTATCCCTTTGTTTTTAAAGAATTTACAAATAAATATTAACTTTTCCTTCAGTTATACAACTAATAATCCCATTGATAAATATACCCACTCTCCTCACCAAAACTCCTTGGGGTGCTTGGTAATGTTTAAGAGGTTCTAAAGGAAAATTCTTTGCTTTTATTAATTAATTTTTTATTCACTGTTCATTTTTGTACAATATTTGATTTCTCCCCTCATGTGTAGTCCCTATAATTCTCCCACCACCATAGCACCTGTGACCATCACCATAGTAATCTTTTGTGCTCTTTCCTCCCCTGTTTTGTCCCCTCTCCCTCCTCCTCACCTGGCCTCAGATCTATGGTTTGCCTACAAGTTTTGTCTTTTGCCTGACATTTTGTTCAGTTCCCCAATAGCCCCCCAGTAAGTGAGACCATCTGATATTTATCTTTTCTTTTTTTAAAAAAAGATTTGTTTATTAATTAATTTATTTATGCATAGAAGAAGTGGGGTGCAGGTCAGAGGTACAGGGGATGGGGTGAGAGGATTCAACAGAGACAGAGGGGGGTGCAGAACAGGTGGATCTACTGAAATACATTGTTAAGGGGAGCAGCGGAAAAGACAGGAGAGGTCTGCTGTGTCCTATGTGGGTTGGCTCCCTCGCTGGGGATCAAACTCAGGCCTTAGTGGTGATAGGGCTGAGACTTAACCCCTAAACCACCAGGGAGGCCCAATTTTTCTTTTTCCTTCTGACCTATTTTGCTTAGTATAATCCCTTCCAGCTCTGTCCATGTTGTCACAAAAGGCCTGAGTTTTGGGCCTCCCCAGCGGCGCAGCGGTTAAGCGCTGGGTTGCGAAGTGCCTACAGCCTCTGCAGCACCAGTTTGATCCCCGGCCACCAGGTGAGGGTCCCACATGGCGCGCAGACCTCTCCTGCCGCCCGCTGCTCCTGTCACCAGTGTATTTCGGTCCTTCTGCCTGCTCTGCTACCCGCTCTGGCTCTGGTGAATTCTCTCACCCTTCCACACTTCTGACTGTACCCAGTGCTTCTATAAATAAATAAATAAATCTAAAAAAAATCATTAAAAAAAATAAAAAGGCCTGAGTTTTATCTCTTTTGATCTCTGAGTAGTATTCTAAAAGGAAATTCTTAAAGAGACCTAAAGTCAAAATATTTGAAACTGTTCTACAAGACAAATTCCTTTCTTCACCATTAAAATGAAACTTTGGGTTAATGGGATGAAAAAGATTCTTTTTGCAATAATTTTTGTAAATGTCACTGGAAATAAAAACTGTCTCTTCTTTGATATTCTTGTCCAAGAGATGCATTCTCTGATTTTAAGTAGGAAATAGACAAGATGTAGGTGAGGATAAAGCCTAAGTTAACACTCACCTTCACTAATTCTGTGTAGCCTGTTTCCTTTGGGGTCCACCATGGCTGGGCTTTCAGTCCCTGCACATTGTAGAGTGAGCGCTGCCAAACAGATGCAAAATGTCCCCTCTTGTGTCCAAGCTCATACCACTTATATGCCTAAAAGAACAGAGAAATTGAACTGTAAACAAAGTATTTTTATTTATTTAAAATTAATGTCACCAAAAGGAAGGTATTTTTTGTGACATTTAACTAAAGAGCTTGCTAGTCAAGTGTCAAATGATGTTACATGGGTAAAAATATTTGACTGGGTTTCTAATTGTATTATTATAAATAAATGTGTGCATTTATTTTGACTGTTAGGTTGTAGGCTCTGTGAATACAGGATTCATGCTTCACTCACTTTGGTCCCCTGGAGTGTCTAGCACAGAACTAGACTTATTTGTTCAGTGGGCAAATAATTTAAGATACCAAAGTAGTATTTATATTTTAGCTTGCATTTCTTATGTTCCATTTCTGTTTCCTTTAAAAGGAAAGGGATATGATTTCATTATTTCTTCAACGATATTTACACACTGAATGGAATTCTAAAATGGAGAGTAGCTATTTTTCACAAGGAGATTTCCATATCCTGTGCATTTAAGGAGGGAGGCTACCCCAAAGTATTAGGATGCAAATCCTCCACTGAATTAAGTAGACAGAAAGGAAATAGTAGTCTGAGTTGGTAATAAATACAGTGATGAAGCATATTATACTTCTTGAAGGGAATTTATGTTCCTTTTTGTTTTCTTTTTCTGCCATAAGGGATAACATTTGTGACTTTAGGCTAGTTGTAATATGATACAACTTACCTCCAAGAAGACTAGTCATTTTGGGGACAGCTGGCTAGAGTATGCTATTCCATATGTCCCCTTCAAATGATGCCCTGACCATATGCTGTCCTTGTGGCCCTCCCCACATGCTTCCTGCACCAGGAATGCGCCATTGTCTTTGGAAAGGAAGATGCATCTAGTGGTGTACGTAATGGAACCCTCTCCATGATTAGAAGCCTGATCTAAGCTTGTTTTTGAATGATCTCAAATACACATTCTGATCAATAAATAACAGCATTTAGTATTAAGCTGATTATGAAGATACTGAAGAATATCTTCAGGTATACTTCAGATGTAAAGTATATTATTAAGCTTTAAAAGTCTTTTAAAACTCATGTCATCATTTGTTCATTGGAAAGATCAAGTGTTAAAGTATAAAATAAAAATATTTCATATTTTTGTCAATGTTTTAGTTTACAACTTGCTTTACATGTACAATCTCAATTGATATTTCCATAAACCCGTAATATCTGCATTTAACAAATGTTGAAACTGAGATTTAAAAAGGATAAATATCTGGAATTATTTTGCAAGACTACTGGCAACTCCATTCCATTTTTCTTCCATCTTTGTATTATTAAAAAAATAACAAAGTATCAAAAGTATTCTTATATAATTATCTTTGTTATTAATGTCCCAATTAAGAACTTAGATGCCAATCACTCTTATATGCTGTCCTTGAAATACATGTAAGTTGTAACAGTGAAGCAGTTTCTTCAAAAACCAGAAACTTAAAATGTTTAATTGTCTGATTTTTAAAAAATAACATTTTACCTTTGAAATTAATTTGGCTAGTTTACTTACTTTTGTCCAATTAAAGATTGTATTTCCTATACCATTCAGTGTTAAAGTAGACAACAATGTTAATTACAACAGATGTTGTTTTGAAACTCTTACAGTCCATTAATTTTTTAATTATCAACAATTCATTTTAAGGACTAGATATATTGCTAGAAGAGATAAAAATTATTAAAGAATACAAAAACAACAAAACTTATAGCCCTAATTCATGAGTTAGTAGTCTTAGATTTTAGTCCTAGCCTTAACACTACCATGTTGGATACCTGGACAAGTCACTTTACTTACAATGATATGTTTAAACTATTTATAGGGTCTTTTCTGACACTCAAACTTACACTATTACATCATATACGGGCTTTAATTTTGTAGCTCTCTGACAAAGCTCTCTGAGAAAGCTCTCTGTAGCTTTCTTTTAGAAAAATAAAACTTCACAATAATATATCAGGAATTCAAAAAACCTCATCTTCAATGATACAGGGCAACCAGTACATTTAGTACAATTTCTGTGTTGATTTTCACATTTAAACCATCTTACAATAAAAGTCAATGATCAAGTTAGAATCCTGTGAAAATTTTCTTTTCACTGTTTCCCTTTATATTTCCAATCAGAAACATTAAAAGAGGAGAACTTCTAAAATGTGTTTTATAGCAATATCTGCTATATTTCAGATTATTGTCAGGTATAAACTACACACACACACACACACACTTGCTCACTACATAGAAATGACATGTCTAAAAATCACAACTCAGATGTAAAGTATATTAAGCTTTAAAAGTCTTTTAAAAATCATGTTATCATTTTGTTCATTAGAAAGATCAAGTGTTCAAGTATGAAGCGCCAGGCCACATATTTGGAATAGCCTGTTACACGTGGTCTTAGCTGCAGTCTGTTCTGCTCAGAGCTTGCTGCAAAGACAGGCACAATAATCACTGCAAATAAGAAGTAGAGGCTGCAACAGCATGCGGAGAAATGTGAGTGCATCACTCAGAAGTAGGACTTCATTTTTATGTTGCACTGTCGGGAGTTTGAGCATAGAAGGACCCAGAAGAAAGCAAGCAAGAAACAGGCAGCTTCTGCAGCCATCACTGAGGTGGAAGGTAGCAGAAGCTTGGGTTACAACCCTGACTGAGCAGAAGGGAAGAAGAGATGCAAGCCAAAGACCCAAGGAAGCAACTTTCCAGTACGTGGCCCTGAACTGACCTAGGTCAGGAGGCCGCTGGTAGGAGAAGAGGGAGGAGCTAACACTGACTCAAATCTTGATCCTGGGAAGTGGCTAATTATCATCAGATGAGAGAAGGAACCCAGGAAGAATAAAGGGTTAGAGAAAAACAAGTGAATTGTCTCTGACACCACGTGGGGACACGAGCAGGCAGCAGACATAGGAATCTGGACTTTGAGAGACTGGGAAATACTTCGAACAGCTAAGGCTCAATTGTTAGAAGACTATCATGGTTTGTCTTCCTCTTTCTGTCCATACAAAAACAAACCCATTTTAAAGAAAAATATCCTCCTAAGTGATTTTATTTTTTTGCCTCTGCAGCACAGAAACTGAGGGTTTATTTCTCTTTCAGGACCTGGAATAGAGTTCCATGTACAAGAAAATGAAGGATGGTTGCATCCCCACAGAGAAACTCAGCATGACAGTCAATTCAGTTTCTACACCTAATAGCAAGAATATATTAACACGGGGCTTCTACAGACATGGCTTGTTCTCCTGAAAGGCTAAATCTTTGTGAACTTTTTAAATTCAAGAACTGTGCCATTGTTTGCATATTAATGATAATTAAGCTGATAGAACAGTCCCATAGGTTTAAATCTCAAGTCCTTAACAAGTGTTTAGTGAAATCCTTGTCCTTGAAGTTAGGGCTTTTTTCATCTAAGATGTGAGAATAAATCACAGACTTCTTTTATCTGTTTTTGCCCTGGACCCTGAAGTGTTCAAAGGTAAATTAATTAGTGACAATTACATTCATAGCAATCAGACATGAACATTTATCCAGTGTTAGATACTGTAGAAAAACCTTTCTTATCCCTCTGATTCAAAGGAGGTACCAGGCATTTACATCTAAAACAATGAAGGGACACAGATATGATTACTAATCAGCAATTTCTTCTCCTTTCTTGTTACATCTTAACATCTCAATCTATTTCAACTGACTGGTAGGTTAAAAGAGGAAAGGTACAGATACGTGGAAACATACAAAGAAAATGTTGTCAATCACCCAAATCTCTATTATCCCAAATTGATGTATGTCTCTAGCTGGCAATTACCCCATCACGAAACCACCTTGCTTCTCTGATACTCCATGTCTTTAATAATTTTAGAAACCTGAAGCTGTGTTATCCCTAGACGTCACCTTATTACATAGAGGGAATGCAATGGTTACAAAGATTCAAGTCACAGCCACCCTCTCATCCCTGGACGATATGGGAGCTTAGTCCAGAGCCCTACGATGTTGTAGAATGTGAAAGGTAAAATTTGCTGCCCAGCAATTTCCTTCAAACCATGATGGATTGTGAGAGTTTGGGAATTTACAGTATATGATGTCATGATTAATGATCTAATGGTCACATTTAAAGAAGATGGCATTATAGAGAGAAAAATGTCATCATCATAAAGAAAACAACTTATTTTAGTTACATTTTCTGTGTCAGCTGCTGTCATTACTATTGCAACAAGTATTCATCTTAAACTTGATATTAAATATTTCAGAAGGTACTTTACATAGCAACCATTGGGTTCAGTGTGTTTAGGGAACAGTTGGATAAAGACTTCATTCTAAAAATAATCACTTTTCAAAATTCCAAAATAAAAAATCTAGGCAAACCATTAAAATATTTCCAAAACATTGCCACAATTTGAGAGAACTCGCTTCATTTCATAGTTTAAAACTATTTTTAATATACACAGAGATATACGCACATACATGCTGAGATGCACATTAAGTTATTGGCTACACTTATGATTACTCAGCTACTTTCTTGAAAGAAATTATAAAATTCAAATTCCAGAAATTATTTATAGGATTAAACAGAAGTTGTTGAAATGTTTCAAAACACAATTTATTTATTTTATTTTTTTTTAAAGATTTATTTATTTATTTATACATACAAGCACTGGGTACAGTCAGAAGCGCGGGAGGGTGAGAGAATTCACCAGAGCCAGAGCGGGTAGCAGAGCAGGCAGAAGGACCGAAGTACACTGCTAAGGGGAGCAGCGGGCAGCAGGAGAGGTCTGCACGCCATGTGGGACCCTCCTCCGGTGGCTGGGGAGCAGCCGGGGATTGAACCGGCGCTGCAGAGGCTGTGGGCAGCTTCGCAACCCAGCACTCAACCGCTGCGCCACCAGGGAGGCCCTCAAAACACAATTTAAATAGCTAAATGGTCTTAATAGCCACCTTCAAAATCTTATGCCCCCCCCAAATTTTTTCAATTGTAACCTCCTGGAAATAATTCTCTCCCTGTCCCGCACACACTCTATCCTTTGTGAGAAAGGACAAGTTCACAAACCCATTACCTCTTTGTTCCCAACTCTTTGCATGGCATCCCCCAGGTGGAAATAAAATCTCCCATCATCAGTGCCAGGATCTCCAGATTCTATTCCTTCCTATGGAAAGAAGAGCGTTAGTATTTATGAAAGAATTAAGTGCCGGATTTCATTCAATGATGTAATGTTTATATATATCATAGAAAAATCTGAGGACCAGAAATAATTCATCTCAGTATTAAGGTTTGGCAATTAGGTTACTGGTCAATATTTACAATGCAAAACCAAAAGGTAATAAAGTTAAATTTAACAATGCATTTATCATTAATTAACAATATAAGAGCCCATAAAATTAGTGTGATGCTTTGTAAATTGTCTCTGTGGGAACGATTCATATTTCAATATCCCATAGAATTTCTTTGGCTGGGTATCAATTACATTTATTTTGCTCTCCAAATCTGCCCATATGTCATCTAGGAGGTTTATTCTTGAATCAAAATGTTTAGTTGCTTATAAGATGTTTGATATGATAAAGACCCAACTGCAAGTAACACTTTTTTCTACTCAAAACTAATAAATCCTCACCTTTTCATGATATCTTTATAAAACCTAGTAGGTTTAAAGCCGTGGAACCTTGGAAAATGTAACTGTTATTAAACAAATCCTATTTGTACCTCGATCTCCCACATAACAACTAAAATAGAACTAAATAGTTCCCACATAGAACTAAAATATTTAAATGTTAAGGAATTTTTTCTAAAGAAATCTGTATCTTTAAGGCCTTTTAACAAGAAGTCCATTATCTTTCATTGAGAAGAAATTCTATTTGCCCACTTTTGGAAAGTAGCAGCAAGGAACAAGAGAAGCAGGAACATTCAAGAAAGTAGGAGAGGGCTTCCCCGGTGGCTCAGCGGTTGAGCGCTGGGTTGCGAAGCTGCCCGCAGCCTCTGCAGCGCCGGTTCGATTCCCGGCTGCTCCCCAGCCACTGGAGGAGGGTCCCACATGGCGCGCAGACCTCTCCTGCCGCCTGCTGCTCCCCTCAGCAGTGTACTTCAGTCCTTCTGCCTGCTTTGCTCCCCGCTCTGGCTCTGGTGAATTCTCTCACCCTGCCGCGCTTCTGACTGTACCCAGTGCTTGCATAAATAAATAAATAAATAAATAAATAAATAAATAAATTTAAAAAAAATAAAAAAAGAAAGTAGGAGAGATTTATCAGGGCTTGTGACTAACAGTCAAATGTTCTTTTTTTTTTTTTTTAAAGATTTATTTTTATTTATTTATACAAGCACTGGGTACAGTCAGAAGCGCGGGACGGTGAGAGAATTCACCAGAGCCAGAGCGGGGAGCAGAGCAGGCAGACTGAAGTACACTGCTGAGGGGAGCGGCAGGCAGCAGGAGAGGTCTGCGCGCCATGTGGGACCCTCCGGGGATTGAACCAGCGCTGCAGAGGCTGCGGGCAGCTTCGCAACCCAGCGCTCAACCTCTGCGCCTCCGGGGAGGCCCAACAGTCAAATGTTCTTGCTGGAAACTAAACAGGCCTCTGTTTTCCCTTCTGAAGGGAGAAAGAGTACTATTAGGTCCTTCTTAAGTCCTTATTATGTTGAAGGAAATGTAAGGGGAACGCTTTAGGTCAGAGTAACCCACATTCCCACAAGGTCTGGCAGGACATATACAGGGTTGCAGAGACCCAGCAACACTAAGTCTAAGGGATCACGCCCACCTCAAGTGGACACCATGGCTCAGCGCCTTGTTCTGGGATGTGGGTCACATGTGATCTTTTAAGAAAAACCAGAAATTTGCATGATTATTTAAAATGTTGAGATTCTCTACTAATGCAAACAACTAAAATTGTCTTTAACAAAACTATGGTGTCCAAATGAAAGATGTAAGCTATTTGCAATAAACAGGTTGCTACTTGAACCTGTGGTTCAAGTGGTTTAAGAACTGGATAAGAAAGTGATCACAAAGTGTAATATACTGCAACTTTATTTATTTATTTTTTTTTGTGGGACCCTCGCTGGTGGCTGGGGATCGATCTGGCGCTGCAGAGGCTGCGGGCAGCCTCGCAACCCAGCTCTCAACCGCTGCACCACCAGGGGAGGCCCCTACACTGCAACTTTAAACAAATTCACAGGTATTTAATCAGCTATCTGTCCAATATGGTGGCTGCAAGCTACATGTTACTATTTAAATTCAAAGTAATTAAAATTAAAATGAAAGATTCAGTTCCTCAGTCATACTAGCTCCACATCAGGGGCTCAATGGCCACATTGGCTGCATATTGGAAAGTACAAATAAAGAACATTTCCACTGTGTAGAAATTTCTGTTGCATAGCCATAGCACTGAACAAATGTGATTTCAGGGAAGTGACAAGGATTTGACTAGATATGAGGGAAAAAAAAAAGATGGCACATCTTACTCTGAATTTTTTGAGATATCTGGCTTTTCAAGGTTTGACGTACTTAGTATACATTTGTTACCTTAACTTTGTAGGCTGGCTAGTCCTGGTGTGAAGTAGACTCAGTATATAATTAAATTGTAAAAGGAACATTTAATGTGTTGTCATATTTTAAAATAGTCTATCAGTACTTTTTGTCCACCTGTGTTATTAAATAAAAACTAATAACACCTGAAGTTTTAGGAATTCCTTCATAGTCTTTTTTCCAATAGTCTGCTCGAATGGTTGGTATTTCTACACCTGAGACTCAATTATGGGGAAGGCCACACTGCCTGTGAATGTCATGGTCAGAGGGTACACATTTTGATGATGAAAAGACTCAGCAGGACATGCCAATCAATCACAATGCATAACCAAGGGTATCCGGAATGACTCAGAGGACCCCAACTATGAAAAAAGAGAAAGGGCAGGGACAGTTACCTTTAAATAGGGAATGCTCTCGGCAATCTTGTTCTGTGCCTTCAGGATAAAGCCGTAATGCACTTTAGCAAAGCCATCATTAGGTGTCACATTTAGAACCTAAACCCAAAGAAAACAAAAGCTATTGTGATTGACTACAAAATCTACAAATGACTGTCAAAACAAATTTTAATTAGCTTTGCTGTACTTGGATTGAATGATGATGGTACAGTTTAAATCACTATAGTGTTTTATCTCATTGAAATATACTAGGCTTAAGTGACCCCTTCAACCCTTGACTCAAAATGTTTTCATATTTACACTCTAATTCTTTTTTTTTTTTTACTACTTTTTTTAAAAAGATTTATTTAATTATTTATACAAGCACTGGGTATAGTCAGAAGCAAGGGAAGGTGAGAGAATTCACCCGAGCCAGGGCGGGGAGCACAGCAGGCAGAAGGACCGAATTACACTGCTGAGGGGAGCAGCAGGCAGCAGGAGAGGTCTGCGTGCCATGTGGGACCCTTCTCCGGTGGCTGGGGAGCAGCCGGGGATCGAACCGGCGCTGCAGAGGCTGTGGGCAGCTTCGCAACCCAGCGCTCAACCTCTGCGCCACCGGGGAGGCCCTACACTCTAATTCTTCAGGAATAAAGCAGTGAATGAAAAGGCAATGACCATTAAAACACCATTTTAACAATGCAATCAACAAAGCATCTGACAAATTAATAGAACTTCAATACATTTTTAGTAATCAGGGAAAAGGAGCTTTAAATATGCTATACTTTATGTCAACTCTGAATGTTATACATTTCTTTATATATATATATTTATCTTTTATAAAATATATAAGAGAAAATTTAGATTTGCATTTGTAATATATCACAATCCATTCATTCAACACGAATTTTTTGAGTGCCCAGACTGCTTTAAGGACTAAGAATAAAATGGTGAGTAAATCCAGTATTCTGTGATAAAACTTGGTAAATAGTTAAAATAAATCAAATCATTGTTTATTATCACATGCATTTATTATGACTATAGATACATTATGCAAATTTCCTGTAATTAAATATTAGCAGTGAGAAATCAAAACAAGATTCAACTTGTGAAACTGCTTAGAAAAACTAATTTACAAAACAAAAGAGAACAATGAAAGGGCTTTAAGTTGAGTACAGGAAGGACTAAGGTGAACATGCTGTAGCTTATCTTCATCCCTGATGTGAGAAGAAAAGGGGAATCACAGCCACTGTGGGTTCCTTATGAATCCTAGAGCAAGTTAGGGATAATTAGGCAGCCTCAAGGACAGTGCAGGGACTTCAGGAAAGTTAAGGAAGCCTCCAGAGATAAGGGCAACAAATTCCAAAGGGGACTAATCTTGTTGACCTCAGGGTCAACAAGACATTCCAAATAGAGGGCAATGAAGAAAAAAAGATAAGGGCTGGGACACAGAGACTTAGTTCTGGGCACAGAGGCATTTAGACAGCGAGTGAGACCACCGAGAACTAACCAATCACAGAGACTGGTGGAGCTTTAAAATAATTAGGGAAAGAAGGCACAACTCCACTTTGGCTTCCTTGCCCCTCCCTGGCCTGGTTCCATGGCCTGGGAGTCCCACTTTATTTCTGTTCCTTTTATCCTCACTAAACTTTTTCTTTCTCTAAACAAACCTGCCTCTTCTCGTTTGCTTGCCTGAGCATCTGCGAAGTTCCTGCTGCGGCTTCGTGAGACACCAATGGGTGGTGGTCTAGTGGCTGGGACTCTCAGCACTGCCCCTGCAGCCTGGAATCCGTTCCTGGCTGAGAGACTAGGCCTGAAAACCTACAATTCCGATATGACTTATACAGAAAGGGCAAGTGTGCCAGGAGAAGAGACCCCTTGATCAGTCCATAGAACATCTGGATGATACTTCAGCATTTTCCAGCTTGCATCCATTCCTGCATCTCACCCATTAGCAAATCCAGCCAACACTACCTTCAAAAGAGATTCTGAATCACACTTCCATCACTTCCTTCTCACTTGCCACCTGTCCAAGTCTTATCACCTCTTCCCTACCTTTTTATATGAACCCCTAATTGCCTGCCTTTTGCACCCATAGCCCATTCTCCACATGGGGACCCGAATGGACTCACTAAATCCTAGAGGAGAGGTCATAGCTCATCTCTCCTCTGCTCAAAATCCAAATGGGCTCCAGATCATTCAGAATGAAAAAGACCAGGTTCTTTACTCTTACACTGCTGGCGGGAATGCAAACTGTTCCATCCACTATGGAAAGCTGTGTGGAGGATCTGCAAAACACTAAAAATGGAGCTACCATGTGACCCAGTGATTCCACTCCTAGGACTCCACCCAAAGGACAAAAAAACACTAATCTGCAAGGAAACCTGCTCTCCTACGTTTATTGCAGCACTGTTTAAAATAGCCAAGATATGGAAACAATCCAAATGCCCCAGAACAGATGACTGGATCAAGAAGAGGTGGTATGTCTATACAATGGAACACTGCTCAGCAATCACAAAAGAAAAACTCATGCCACTTGTGGCAACATGGATGGAGCTGGAAGGGATCATGCTCCGTGAAATAAGTCAGAAGGAAAAAGATAAATATCAGATGATCTCACTTACATGCAGTATATAGAGAAACCAAAGAAAGGGTCAGGAAAAAGATAAAACCTGCAAGCTAACCATAGATGTAGGGTACACAGCAGAGGAGCAGGAGGGGAAGGAGCCAAAACGGGGAAGGGAAGAGTACTGTGGTGATGGGGCACAGGTGAGAGAGCGCTGAGGACTGTACCTGAAGGGAAGAATCAAAATGCTGTACAAAAATGAACAATGATGTAAAAAAGAAGAAAAAAAAAAAGATCAACTAAACCAAACCAATAACAAACCCTAGAAATCTGACTGTAGAATTGAGGCTGCAAATGGGAGAGGGTGGAGAACAAAGTGAGGAGGGAGCACAGTGGATTGTGGTTGTAGACCCTGAATGTCTTGTTGGTGGGTGTGGTGCAGTAACGCCTGATGTGGTAATGCCTGGAGCGGGTGATACTATACCTCTGAATTGTATACAATGTTGTAAAACAATGTTAGCTCAATTAAAAAAAAAAAAGATCATGTTAAAAAAATAAAAACCAAGCTCTAGGAATAGCCTCAAAGTCTCCCTTGAGCTGGGTCTCTCTACCTCTCTACTTTCTCTCCAAACTGTCTCCCACCATCCTGGACTCATTGCTGCTGCACAGCAAGCCAAAGGCACTCTGTTCAGGACCTCTGCATGTACACTAATCCCTTAAGTCAAATACTTCACTCCCAGACATCCAAATGGCTAGCCCCTGACCTCCATGACTTCCTGGTTCAAAGGTCACCACCTCTGTGCAGCCTCCCTTAAACATCTGTTATAAAACACACCCCTCTGTCACTAGTCACCCTCTACCTTCTTTATCTGGATTCCCCCTTTTCACTCATAGCACTCATCACCATTTGACTTACTATATTTTTGGGTACGCTCACTCTGATGTAAGCTCCACAGGGATTTTGTCTGTTGCACTGATCCCCAGAGTTAAGAACAGTGCCCAGCACATGACAGGTCTTCCAGAAATCTGCACTAACTGAAGACTCCAGTACATGTCAGAATTTTCTTCCTAACTAGATCTCTGAAAGCATAGACTCTAATTCCTCTGCATGTTCCACAGCACCTGTTACAGAATGAGAAACTGAGCCAGAGCTCAATAATACCTCTGGAGTTGAATTGAGACTGATCACGTCTCTGGCAATCTAACTATGAAGGGTTTATTATAATTATTGTAGCTACACAGATGACATTTCTGTCTTCTGCAACCACACACTACTGTTGGGGGAGGGGGTGCTGAGCACCTGGGGGAACCGAAGAAGCTGCCTTCCCTAATGGATTCCTCACCATCACCTACAGCGCTTACCACAGCTCACATGGGGATGCGCTACACATCTGCAGAGTCTCTACTAGTTGCAATCAACACACTCTCAGACAATTAGTGGCTTTATAAGATTTTGAAAATACCAGACTGAGATTGATACTAATGCTATTACACAGACTTTCTTTCTTAGCACCCGTGTGCCATGAGTACACACACACACACACACACACACACCTCTAAATAACTGGTATAGCTGACATTTCTCTCTCAGCACAAATTCCTTACATGACCCATTGCCAGATAAAATATATCATATATATTATAATATAATATTGCACATTGATATTACTCAAATATTAATTTTTCAATAAAAGTGAAAATATATTTTTGGCCATTTCAATGTATTCAACACATTTCATGTTAAAACTTAATATAGGCTAATGTACGTGCTGTATTGATACATCTACTTATATATACACGAATACATAAACATACATGTCACAGCCATTTGCGCGAGCATGCTTTACCAAAAGGGCAGGCAATCAAACCTAACTAGAGACCACAGCTAAGGGCAATGGGAAGAAAAGCAGAACTGAAGCTGAGGGGGTGAGGGTCAGATTTGTGATTTGTTCTGATGAGGAGAACAAGCCTGCATGGGATTCCTGGTTTAGGCAAGAAATAATGAGTGCCTAGGTTTAGCTCGGAGTGGATGTGAGAGGCATTCAAACAGCAATTTAGCAGAAATTAGGGATTTGGTAACTGACTGTAAGCTCCCCCAGGGCACACTCTGTGTTTGTTCCTTAACTACCATTTCTCAAGCTAGTGTGTGTGGGTTTTCAAAAATAAATTTTGACTAAATGAAGGGGGAGATGTGAGGAGTGAATGGAGAGAAGAATAAGCACACGGGTGGGTGGCTGGGTAACGGGTGGTGCTGCTAGCGTGGAGGGAAACTGAGGCACACCTCACAAAGCAGTGGAAGCACGCCGTCTATGACAGATCATTTAAAAGTCAGTCTTTGTGGAAACTAAAAGCCGAAAAAAACATAAGGGAACTATCAATGGTTTTTATAAACTAAAATAAAAATCAACACGAAGAAAAATATAAAATGACACTATCAGTTTTCTGAAAGCTATTTTGACAGAGACACAAACACAGCAGGATAAACTCTGGTTAAGGAAAGAGAAGCTACTAACTACAGTTTATTAACTTAGAGGGGAGAGGAGGGAATACAGGGCACATCCCACACATATTTTCAGTCTGCTGATGTTTCTTTAAGAAGAAATCGACTCAGCTGCATAAAACAACTATCATTTAGAGGTTCTGCATCCTGTTATGCTTATTCAGATGAGAATATGATTTCAAATATATAAACAACAGCAGGCAAATTTATTTTCCAAAGTGAAGCAAAGCTTCCACGTAGCTGAAATTTAACATCAAGGAAAATGAGTGACTATATTTAAGGAAGGTTTTGCAAAGGCAGGAAGAACAACTCACAGTGGGTAAGAAAAACCAGAAGGCTTTCAGATGCTTCCCTAAACTCAAATGTGCTTGGCACCCAGTCAGCAACTGACCACACAATCATGTGTTTTGGAATGAAGGGAAGAAGGAAGGAAGTGAGGAAGAAGGAAGGAGTCACACAATTCCATCTTGTGGTTTCTGACAGTGGTGGAGTAACAGGAATTCTGATATGCACGTATGTCTTATGACCACACGATCCTGAATTGCTGGTCCTGAATCAACCTGATTCAAGTTGGATGATTCCCTAAACAACCTTGGCAAGACAGGGAACTCGGTGATATGCTGAGGCCATTAGTAAATACAATGCCCCTGTGGATTCATTTTACGACCTGGAATAGGCACTTTAGTGGACAGCACACATTTCAACACTGTAGGACCCATCCACTCTGCACAGATATTAAAGACACTATAAAAACTAATGATCTTATTTCTGCTATTTTAGAAAATACGATAATTATGACAAGGCTAAAAAGACAATGGCTCTAAAATTCAATAGCTTTCAATTAATTAACAGAAATAAATCAAGGAAAGCACCACTTTGTGATGGACCCAGTTCCTAGACTGAGTGTGGAAACACTACACTTGACTGCATTTTAAAAACAGAAGAAATGATACTGGCTGGCACTGAGAAGTAGGGTTTTTATATAAAGTACACCAATTTGTAAACCATTGACCTAAGGGTCTAAGTGTAAGAATAACAGTAAATGTGTTCATATTTCTTTTCCAGAGGCATTTACTTCTTTCACCTTCCAAGTTCATTTGGCATCCTGTTTATCCTGTACCAAATGAATTACCCCATTGCTTGAAGGAGTCACAGTTTTCTAGATTTTATAGCTACTTGTTACTTAAAAAGTATGTATTAAAACATCCAATATGAGGTAGAAATCCTTTTTACAGGCTTTCTTGCCAGAGAATCGAAGCTTTGATGCCTGTAAAGGAGAGAGTTTACTCCACATGCCCAAAAGGCTTCTGTTCTACAGTCTCTCTTCAAACTGAACTTCTAGTGGAAAGAGGAAAAGATTGTGCATTTTCATGTCCATAGAATTCCTCTTTCAATTTCCAAGAACATTTTTTACTTTATTTTTTTTTTTTTGGATGGAAGGAAATCGTTTATTGCATTTGTAGTGTGTCATTTATTATAACAGAAGAAAAGATCATAAATGTATTAATATATTAACATTTGTTAAATCTTTTTAAAATTTATTTATTTTAAATTATTTTATATATTTTTTACATCCTTTTTTTCATCTTTGTACAATGTATGCATTTTCATCTTGGTTATAGAAGAATATTTTTTAAAAGCCCATTTGTGGACTGATAAATAGGAAGTTTTAAAAAAAAAATCACAACTAAAAGTTGAAGGATTAAATGTAGCAAGTGTTACCTAAAATTTAAAATTTTCTGATCCAGGAGACGAAAAGGGATGTGAAAACAAAAATTAGACTATGTTAACTGTAGTGATATTTAAATTCTATTTAACTTAACTTAAAATAAAGTGACTGAGATTGAGTGTAGTGAATGCAATTTATAAATAACATTAGAACTTTGTATTGAAAACAATTTGACAAGGCTAGTAGAAGAGTGCTACTTGCTTACCTCTTCATAAACCTTCTTAGCACTGTCATTATCTCCAAGCAAGAGGTACCCCACTCCGAGGTCATTCTTTAAGGATGTATCATCAGGAAATAGTTGAACTAATCTCTGTAGGGTAAGCAGGGATCCTCTCATATGACCTGGTATGGTGAGAACAACAACAAAAACCAATAGCAAGGAAAACAGATCCTGTATATTTCTGCATTAAGACTATATATCCCAAGAAATTATTCAACAGAGCATGAAAACCTGCTAAAATCTGCCTTTACAAATTGATGACTAAGGACCTCTAATAGGATTTCATTATGCAGTTGCAATGATATCAATGGTCCCTACAAGTAGATATTGAATATGAGTAATTGTAAATATTTTATTTATTTATTTTTAAAAGATTTACTTAATTTATATATACAAGAACTGGGGTGTAGGCCAGAGGTCAGGGGAAGAGGGGGTGAGAGGGTTCACCAGAGACAGAGTGGGGAGCAGAACAGGCAGACTGAAATACACTGCTGAGGGGAGCAGCGGGCGAGACAGGAGAGGTCTGCTGTGCCATGTGGGTAGCTTCCTGGCTGGGGATTGAATTTGTGCTGCAGTGGCTGCGGATAGCTTCATAGTGCTGCGTCTTAACCCCCTGTGCCACCATGGAGGCCCCATAAATATTTTAGAGACACTCTAACTTTCTAAATTCATCAATATTTATCTTTTTATGTCAAATTCCCTCAAGAAAGTTTTCCTTGCCAATTTCTCGTAAAAAATGTTTTACAGAGACATTTTTGGTTTATTGTGTTTAACTTTAAAATTATTACTAGAAAATAAATAAAAAGTGTAATGGATTTCAGGGTTCAGCATCCTGTATGAACCGTGAAGAGGCACTGAGGGCCGCTGATGACACTATTTCCCATTATGCAAGTCCTATCTCTGCAATGACCCAGTCATGGAGCAAGTAAGGTATCATCCAGTATTAAGGCGCCCTCTGGTGGACGACTGTATACTCTGCACAACACGAATCAGGTATACCCTAGCTTCCAATAAGTTAAGAGTGTCAGACAGAAATCTTTAAATTTCTGGGGCATACTTACTGTCACTACTCCTCCCCACCACTGCAAAGACAAACTATATATTTGTAAATGTACAAAATAAGACTAGTATACATGGCAAAATGAATGAATTACCTAAAGAGTGTAGGTGCCCACAAACTGTATTAGCCAAAAGTGTGATAGAACCATCAACAATGTAACAGTTTTATGCTCCACAACAGACTATTTTGACATAAAACACCACCCACTAATCTCCTGGCCTGCTCCCCAGGACTGGCTGCTCTGAGGAGGTCTGCTTAGTCATTCATTCCCTCACTAACACATCTGGCTTATTTTTCTATACCCTTCCTTCTCCCAACTGCCCACACCAGGATCACACTTGTCTGCTTCTAAACTTCCCCTGTTGATTATAACCAGGGTCCTGCTGTTACCACCTCTTTCCTTTCTCTGCTGCCCCAGACCCCTGTCCTATTTTTGTGAGGGGACTTGGCACTGTCACTACCATATTCTGCATATAGTTCCCTCCTCACAGAGCCACCTCTAGTAATCTGGCCTCATTCTCATTCAGAGAAGACTATATTCAAATCCTGTTGAGGAAGAAGGTCAGATTTCCCATGGACAATTTTTCTCCTGGGCAGGGAATAGGGGGAGGCAAGTGAGGCACTTGGTGCAAAGTTTAGGAGGCTGCCAAAAATTCAGTAATCAGATGAATGATGTTGTAGGGATTGTTTCAAAAAAGCCATGACAAACAAAATATGAAAAAATTTAAAGACAGAATCAGTAAATAACCAAGGCTAAGCAGAACCAGACTGAAGGCCGAGGCATGAAAATCTCAATGATTCTGATTTTGCATCCCAGGTGCATATTGAGGGCCTTCCCCTGAGCCCCTGCCCTGCCTTTTCAGTGCTGTTCATGCACTCTGGGTTTTTCCTTCCCTGAACTGGCTGGCCCTTATGAACATAAGTTCAGTGGACAAATCTACCGAAGTGGAACAACTATCTTTAATTTCATCCCTTAGAAAATTTAAAAAGGGCCTACTGGTCATGAATATCATACTCATGTGAACCTCTCCTGGTGACAGTGTAACAGGTGGTCCCCAGGGAAAGGGGAGGTTCCAGGTGCCCTATCCCACGCCAAGGAAGGGTGGAGTTGGGCAGGGAAGTGAAGCTAGGAAAAAATGGACAGAAGGACTGAGAAAGACAAGACTGGCTGAGGAGAAGCAGAGAGAGGAGGAGATAAAGAAGACTTGGAGGAGGCACATGGGCAGAGAAATTTTGAACAAGCTATGCTTGCTGACTGTTGGACTTGTATGAGGGACCTGGGACTTGGAAAGACACTTGAAAGAGACAGAGATGTGGGTGGGAAGCCCATGGGGAGGCTGACAGTGGCAGCCTTTATATTGACTTAGGTTTTGATTTTGCTCCTTTCCTTCCAGACTTGCCTGGCCCCTTCTGCCCCTTTCCTATGGGTCCCCACCAGAAGGTGCCTTAGACTTGTGGCAGGCTTTTGGGCCTCCATGGTACTGTTTTGGGCCAACCCTGTTTGGCTGGGCATTTACCCACAAGGAGATAGGTAACTTCGGGTGCTTGATTTGTTAACTTTATTCTTTCTCTTTATTGCACATTAATTGCATTAAAATTCCTTTCCATTGAAGGTCTGAGTATGTTTGTCTTGTTGTGGCAGGTGGCAGAACCCACTTAGAGCAGGCAGGTTTGGGGATCCTGGAGTACCTCTCACCCTGCCCAGTAACAGTATCAGTAATTTGCCTATTTAACTTATCTAGCCAAGCACCAACCTTAGCAATTACACGTGGCCTAGATGCTTCCCTCATAGTTTACTGATAATAAACTGGGGGCGGGGGAGGAGGGGACAGGCAAAGGGGCAGGGCAGAATCACAAATCTATAATGAAGTCAGGTTATGACTTGTCTTACTGCTTTTTGCACTGAGAATCAGAGTCAGTAAGAGAGGATGCTTTATGCTGCTCTATTCAAAACATTTGTAAATTTACTTAGCGATTAAAAATTCTCTATCATTTTCCTTGGTCTAGAATCACAACTTACAGGTAAAATGTTTAGTACTTGGGACTCCCAACATTTCTCAATATAAAGTTGTCCCACAGATAATTTCCACCTCCATGAATCAGTTTGCTACAGTTAAGAGAGAAAGGAATCTACAGGAAGAATTTTTGGCTCCAGACCATTTAATTTAATTAGCTATGATACCTTAGGCAAACTCTCCAGTCTCTTAACAGTGGTTTATCTCACCTTTAAAATGGAGGAAGGAGGAGTAGGAAGGTAGTAAAAATACCATCTGCATCTTTGCAGTTGTTAAGGTTAGGATTGCTATTTCAGTCTAAGACAAAATCAGGTAAATGACCTGAAAGGAATCATAAAACTTGGATTAGGTCCTCCTTGGTGGTGCAGGGGTTAAGTCTCAGTTCTATCAAGGTATCTCCAGATACCTTGAAGCATGAATTCGATCCCCAGCCAGGGAGGTGACCCACATGGAGCAGCAGACCTCTCCTGTCTCACCAGCTGCTCCCCTCAGCAGTGTATTTCAGTAAATCTGCCTGTTTCGCTCCCTGTTTCGCTCTGTCTCTGGTGAATCCTCTCCTGCCTGCCCCACCCCTCCCCAACCCGTACCTCTGGCCTGTTTTTCCAGTTCTTGTATGAATAAATGAAAATAAAATCTTTAAAAAAAAAAAAAAAACAAACTTGGATTAACTTTCTTGTAACTAAATTTTTCTTGTAACTAAATTCTCCTAATAGTACACACAGCCCTCAGTCTCCTTTTATAAGGGCATCACATCTGCTCTTGAATTTATCTTTATCCCATCCTACCTAGAAATTGCTGTCTTTCTGACCGCCGCTTCAAACTTAGCTTCATCAGGTCGGCGGGGACATCGGGCAGGCCGGCCACCTCTTGGTAGGTCTCGATGGCCTTGCGCAGGACCTCATTGCTCCTCCTCTTCTCAGCCAAGTCATCTTCACACTAGAGGAAGTCCCCACACTGGGTAAATATCCCATGACAGGCTCCACTTGTAATCTCCCAAAATATTTATGAAAAGTTTACTTTTGTACATGGTTTAAAATGAATTCAAGACATATTAAAAGTATCTCTTTATCAAGTAAAAAAAATCAAAGGAAAGGAACAGACCATGCTGTTTTAATAATATGACAGAAAGTTAGCTATTAAAGTGATAAAAAATATCATAAAAGCAAAACTAATATATGCCAGGACTGGTGGAGATTCATATCAGGTTATATATTGACATTACATAAACAGGAGCCTAGTCCATAATTCTTGATCTTTCAGTAGTTTATTCCCGGTTTCATTCATCTGTTCTATGCATATGGCAGACAAACTGAACACAACAAAGTCCCTTTTGCATTTTGTTTCATTCTAAACAGAAATGAAGGACAACGCGCACATGAAAGATGGTGTGCGTGATGGTTATCAGCACCGTAGATAAATCAAAGCAGGCTCAGCAGTGCCGGGGCGGGGTGGCAGGAAGGATGCCAGCTGAATCAGGATGATCAGGGAGAGCCTGAAAGAAGTGAGGGGAGCAAGGCGGGAGGGTATCAGGGGGAAGAAGCTCCAGGCAGAGAGGACAGCAAGAGCAAGACCCTTTGAGATGGAATGAGGACTAGAGGAAAGCCAGGCACGGTGGAGAGGAATGAGGTGGAGGGCGATGGGGGCATCAGGTAATGAGGAGCCTGGTAAGCTAGTTCACACTGTGTGAGCTGGGAGGAGACGGGGTTACTGACATCATCTGATATATGTGTTGAAAGGATCACACTGGAAGCTGTATGGAGAGCAGACCTGGGGGGAGGGAAAAGCACAGAGCCCAATGAATGTTCCAGCAGGAATCCAGACAAGAGGTGATGGAGGTCTACATTAGGGTAGTAGTGATTAGGTGGTAAAAAAAATAGCTGGATTATAGATATATTTTGAAAGTGAGTGCTAAAAGATTTGTTAATGATCTGAGTGTGGGATATGAGAGGGAAGCAGGGAGCACGATAGGAGAGATCTGCCGCGCCATGAGGGACCCTCGCCGGCTGGCCGGATCGAACCAGCGCTGCAGAGGCTTCAGACAGCTTCACAGCTCGGCGCTCAACTGCCTGTGCCACCAGGGGAGGCCCTAAGTGTAGGATATGAGAGAAAGGGAGAGAGAAGTCAGGGATGAATTCAAATGTTCTGACTGAAGTAATTATCAGATAGAATCACCACTTCCTGCAAAAGTAGGTTTATAGGGATATGAAATTAGGAGTTTAGTTTTGGATATATTAAACTCCAATGCCATTTCCAGAAAGGTGCACACAGGTATCTGGTGTTCAGGAGAAAGGTAAGAGTTAGAGACACACATTGGAGAATCATCAAGGATAGAGATGGAGTTGAAAATGAGAAGCTATAAACAGTTGTAAGTGTAGATAGAAAAAAGAAGAGGTCCAAGAACACTAAAGAACTGAAAGTTTCTAGGTTATTAGCGGTCAGAAAGACAAGGCCGGATTAGCAAAACAAATGGAGTAGGAGGGAGAAGAGAAGAAAATAAAAAGGAAGTGGTGTTTTGGAGGCCAGCTGGCAAAAGGGATGGAGAGAGAGCTCAGTGATGTTAGAGGGCTGTCAGGTTTGGCCGTCTGAGCTGAGATCATCCGGCTAGAGATGGGCAACATGGCCCTCTGCTGGAGCCAGCAAGACCCTGTCCGGCTGGCTGGGGACCTGGAAGTGAAAGAAGCAGTTGCAAGAGGAAACAAGAAGAAAGGAGGTGGAGACAACTATTTCAATGAGTTTCACTGTGAAAGGGAGCAGAGAAATGGACCAGGAAGGGGAATGTAGAGACAAGAGATGAAAATTATAGCATGTGACAGTAGACAGGGGAAATATGATGCAGAAGGGGACACAGACTCCTCTAGCAGGTGCGAGGGCACAGGAGAGTTCATCTGTGCTAGCAGGAGGGAGGGCAGACCAGAGGGGAGCAGACAAGGAGGTTGGGAGCAAGGGAGTGGGGTCATATCAAAGTTCTCTTTGGATATTTCTATTTTCTCAGTGAGAATTCTTAGTTAGAGATTGAGAAGGAGGAGTGAAACCACAAGTAAAAGAAGATTTAGTAGACTGCAATTTGAGAATTATCATTTGAGGAAAAATGATACTAGTTAGATGCTGAAAGCAGCACATATAATGTTTTATCAGAATATCCTTGTTAAAACTGTTTACCTTGTTAAAACAGACTGTGTGCTGACATTAATATATAGGTGCCTGCAAAAGAAAGCAAACTCCACATATGAAGAGATGGTAGGAAAACGATCTCTTCCTCCACTACCCCAAAATGAAAATCTTAGAATCAGTACAAATTGATAAATTACCTGTGGGAAGCTTTTCAGAAAATAACACATGTGAAAAATAACTTGTTGATAGGTACAGATTCAGATAAGTTTCCCAGAGTGATGTGTTAGAACTGAAGCAGTGGTGACAGACAGAAGTGGACGGATTTATGAGGGAAAGGAAGCTGATAGGACAAAAACATCTAGATAAGAAAGAGCAATTCTCCCACGCTGTGTTGAAAAAAGTTTCAGGACATACAACTGCCTCTTCAAATCTGTAAATGTCCTTCAGAATAAAACATCTACCAGGAGAGAAAATCAGGGTCAGGACCCCTGTTATCGTGCCTGCACAGCCTTCCAGGTAGTCACAGGCTGGCTTTTCTGTGTAGGCATCAATTTCTGATGAGTTTGGCTGTGGTGAGTTAACTCCCCAAAACATGGTCTTCATAGATGACTTCACGGAATGACAGAGTTCCAAAACTGAGAATCTTTTTGAGACCAATAGTTCTGCTTGTTAATTTAGTAGCCTCTTCAAGCTACCACATCAATCCTGAAAGAGTCTCTTGTTAAAGCAAGGACAAATGCCTTCCATGATAATCCTCCTTTATACAGATAGGAATAAATATCTTTAAACTCAGTCTGGAAGAAAAGATGTATAATCTATATGTCTTTTTCACTCTCCTCTGTCCCTGCTCCCAGGTATCTCATTTTAATGAAGTGTAAATGTCATACAACTTCCCCAGAACTGGGAAAACATCAGTATTAAAATGGCACATAAATTCTTTAATGATCTTTTGAATGAAACTGAACAGGTTTGTCTTGAAAATAAAAAATGTCTGGATTGATTTTTATCAGTTCAGCACATGTAGGTAAAGTATACTGAGCTAAAACTGAATATTGGTTATACGAAGTCAGCATCACAAAGTCTTTTCATGACTTGACCTAATTCACCCACCTGACCTTCCTAGGAGATGTGTCATTTTCTGCCTCAGACACATCAATGGTCTGTATAAGATAATAAAGTGAATGAATTTATAATTCAAGAGCTTGTGTCTGATGTTCAGGGAACTCAGTCAAAATTGATTTTTGCAGTGATCCAACAAATAAATATCAGTGTTACTTTAGAAATAACAGATACTATAGTTTGCATTTAACTTAATGTTGCTGAATTTTTCAATTTTATAGGGATATTCCAAAGTAATTGTTTCATCTGCGAACAGAATTAAAAAGTCACCACTATTCCTCCCTATAAAATCCATCTTCTGTTCAGTTCTTATTTTTAAAATTATTTTTAAAATTGCTCTATTAAAATTTAATTTATCATGGCTAAATTTTGGTTTATGCCACATTAACATTAATATCAACAACAACTTATGGCCTAACAGTTTAGAGATAAAATAGAATAATGCCCAAGGCATAAATCTCAAATTCCTACTGTTAAATAAGGATAATAAACACCGTGTGTGGGCCTCCCCGGTGGCACAGCGGGTTGAGGGCAGCGCTGAGAAGCTGTCCACAGCCTCTGCAGCATGGGTTTGATTCCCAGCTGGCCAGGGAGCTACCAGCTACCAGTCAGACCTCTTCTGACTCACCCACTGCTACGCTCAGCAGAGTATTTCAGTCAATCCACCTGTTCTGCTCCCCGCTCTGCCTCTGGTGAATCCTCTCGCCCCCCAACCTCTCTGGCCTGTACCCCAGTTCTTGTATAAATAAAAATAAATCTTAAAAAAATAAAAATAAAAAATAAACACCGTGTGCAATCACCATGTGCAAAAAGTAGTGTATTTCTTTCAACTTTGTTGCCCACAATTAATATCACACATAAAGTTCTAAAGCAGAAAACATGTTTGCCATAACCAAATTAGCACTTGAATCAAGCATTATTATCTCTAGTTAATATGCTTTCCTTAATTAAGTGACTGTCAATAGCAGCAGCAAAGTACATCACTTAGTTGGAACAGGCTTGCCCTTTTGGTAACAAACACATTCTCTCTCATTTAAGGGCAGCAGAATTTAGCAGTCTAGGTAGACTACTGACAAAGATGATAAAGATATTGTCTGCTAATCCTGGTCTGTGCCATGCGTAAAAGGAATTTATTAGCATTAATTTTCCACAATTTAATTCATTAAAACTTAATAAAAATTTAATGATCAGGTTTTAATGGGGAGATAGGAAGAATGTGAGCATTTGCATCGCAAGTGATTGCATTTTGAGTTCAGAGTCAAACACACTTGCTTTATTTATAGATGTGTTAGTTTCTGTGTGAGTGTCATACACCAGTGACTGTGCTGACCCCCTCAAAGGGGTGCTGTCAGCTTCTTCTTGGTCTGAAAATTCTCTGGAGCTGTGCATCTATTGTTTCCCAAAAGAGTTGACAATTTCATACCCATGGCCCCTCCCTAGGCAGGGCTGCAGGATCTGTATCATACGTCATACTTGTAGATCAGCCCTGGCTTTGCTCTGAGGCCCAGACTCCATAAATCCAATGATCTACCTGACAATGTGCACTTGAACATCTAAAAGGCATCATTTAACATTTGGTCCTTTTTTCTTTTTTTTAAAGATTAATTTATCCATGCATACAAGAACTGGGGTACAGGCCAGAGGTGTGGAGGGTGACAGGATTCACCAGAGACAGAGTGGGGAGCAGAACAGGCAGACTGAAATACACTGCTGAGGGGAGCATCGGGCAAGACAGGAGAGGTCTGCTGCACCATGTGGGTTAGCTCCCTGACCAGGGATCGAACCTGAGCTGCAGTGGCTGTGGATAGCTTCACATGCTGTGTCCCAACACCTTGCACCACCAGGGAGGCCCCCGACATTTGGTTCTAATTAACAAAAAAAAAAGCAAACTCTTGAATGTGCTCCTCCCCAAACCAGTTCCTCCAATAGTCTTCCCAGTCAGTAACTAGCACTATCCGCTCCTCAGCTGGCGAAACCAAAAGCCCAGGATCCTCTCTTTCTATGACCTTTATATGTAATCCATCATTCAGGCCTTCAGTTCTACCTTCTGCCCACTTCTCTGTCCCCATGGCCAGGACAACAGTCTGAGTCACCCTATCTGGAGTACACTTGCAAAAGCCTCTTATTCCTCGTTTCTTCTTTGGCTTTCACAATCGTGGCAACCAAAGCAATTTTTACCAAAAACAAACAAACAAACAAACAAACAAAAAACAACAACCAACCAGATGGAGTCACACCCATGCAAAAAGCCTTCCCTGGTTTCCCAGCACATAGTCTCAATCTGCGAGGACAAGCAATGGTCCCACTGCATCCTCCCTCTGCATACTCTCTCTCTGTACTGGAGCTTATTATGCCAAGGTTATTTCCATGCATCGTAGCCTTTGCCCCTGCTGTTCCCTCTGCCTGGACAGCTCCTTCCACAACCTTGCCACCTCCCTCAAGGGACCTTTCTGGTCACCTTGTCTAAAATGCTGTCTTCCCTGTCACTTTCCAACACATCACCTGAAGCCAAAAAATCTGAATAGGTCTGTTTCTTATTCCATTACCTTCTTTTCTTTATGGGATATATTATTATGTAAGATGATTTCACACAGTTATTTTTAACACTTTATAATATTCTTTAAATATGTATTTATGTATAAAGACTTTGCACACTTTGCTCAGATGTCACTTCCTGGGTGAGACCTTTTCTTGCCACCCAATTCAACATTTCAGCTCCCTCACGTGGCTCTACTCTACTTCTTCTTTGCTCTCCTTGGCACATCTCTCCACTGGCTTCACCATTGCAATAAAAGCACTGTATGTTTTGTTGATGATGGCACATGCAGAGCCTAGAATAGGGTCTGACATCTACCGCCATGCCCCACACAAGACACACTGGTTAACCATGGATGCATATATGACAGTGGTCCCCGATTCCTACTTATTAGTGACACTGAAGCACACATTGCCCATGTGCTACAGGAACAAAGAGAAATCATGGAGGGCCTGGCTTCTCTTCCAAGCTGCCCTCCTGAATTGCTATGCCAGCAGAATGGAGAATTCTCTTTGACAAATACATGCACCTATATGATATTTGCACAACACCAAACTTGTCCCATCACTAAGTACCAGATGACTATAGTCGGCTCACTAAATAATTTCTGAGTAACTTTTAAAATAACTTCCAGTGGGATATAAGACAAAGACAGACCTTAGCGTGTTCATGATAAAGACCCCAGGGGTCTCCCTGGTGGGTTGCCTCAGTGCTATCACCTCTACTGCCTGAGTTTGATCCCCAGCCAGGGAGCTACCCACACGGCACAGCAGACCTCTCCTGTCTCTCCCGTATTTCAGTGAATCCTCTTGTTCAGCTCCCCACTCTGTCTCTGATGAATCTCTCACCCCCGGCACCTCTAGCCTGTACCCCAGTCTTTCTACACAAAAATAATAATTTAATAAAAGACCCCAGGGGCACACGAGGGTTTACAGTTACAGAGAAATGTGGAAAAGCTTCAGGAAATGAAGAGCTGGAGTAGAGAAAGCCAGCGAGAAAGGAGGTGGTGCATGCGGAAAAGGAGAAGGTAGCTGGCAAGAATAAACCCAGTTGGAATAATTAACAGAGAAAACAAAGTACATTCAGCTTTATCTTTCAAAAAGTATTTCCTAAGCACAGCTGTAACCTCTAGTTATAAAACAGAATTATTAAAGCTCTGAGGAGCCTAAAGCGAAAACTACGTAGGGGATTAAACACAATGAGATGTGGGGGTGTTGGGAAATCAGTGACCAAAGTGGTAACCTCCACTTTCTTCTCAAAATAAAAGAAAAACTATAATGGGGAGGAAGCAGGAAAATACTACTAAATCAAATGGTATATATTAGCAATAATTGTTTAAGGAAAAATAGTATTTTTATGCTTATGCATGAGATATTGCATTTTATATAGATGTTAGAAAGGAAAAAAAGAAAATGCAAAAAGTAGGCAGTGAAAAATCCAATCACACAGAACAAGGACATTAAAAAGGAGTATTCTAAGTAGAAGGATTTTAGAATACCTGAGCCTTCCCGTATCTCGCCCGTGGACTCTGTGGGTATTTGTGTACTAGTTCTTCAAATGCATTCACTGCTTCCTCAATTTTTCCCTGTTAGGAAGAGGAAATTGTGTAAATACTGCAAATTCAAATACTTTGTTCTCATTGATTATTATGCCAAGTTTATTTAAAATTCGCCAAATAATTTTGTCAAAATTTCCTGGCTGTACTCTGAGTTTAAGGTTTTAGCTAAAATTTTAAAAAACTGACTCTATTACAGCAAACATGAAAGTAAAAATGAACATAAATAAACGTTATTTTTTGAAAGAAAGGTACCCGGCAAATGATGTAATACGAGTCTTTGCTGGAGAAACTGCATTTGCCCTCTCTAGGCATAGATCCTCCATGCATTCCGAAAGACAATATTTACATTTTAATTTTGGGGGGAAATATTGCTGGCAGCTATCCTGCCTTGGAGTTTGCAGTGAGAGATCTGAAGCACCTGTTAAAACAGCATGATGATGGTCATCTGGTCGGGCACCTGTCTGTCACCAAACATCAGGATGGATTTGGCTCATCTGGCTGACTAAGACCCTCATGAATTCTGTGTCATGTGACCCTCCCTGAGCTCACATGGCCCCTCCTGCAGATGGTCCAAGCTCCCGTGTCTCTGACTACTACCAGGTAAAAAGAAAAGAAGGTCCCTTAGAAGGTGTGCTTGGTGAGGGCACTGACTTGGGGTGAAGGACTCCTCCTGACCTCACCCATCTGTTGCCACTGTACATGGAAACAACATCACCAGGTTTCTTGTAGTGGGGAGCAGCTCAAGTATACTGGGAACTATGGGGTCAACAGATTTTTTGAGTTGGACTTGCTCAAATATCCCAGCTCAAAGTAATTTGGTAAATCCATGCATTCCACATGTACATGCAAACTCTTTGTGCTTGTATGCTTTGACCTTCACTGAGTGAGACTTCATACATTGAAGTTAACATCATATGTGTGGCTCTGCAGAGCAATCTGTGGGTTATCACCTTGCTGCTATTTATACCTACTTCTAAAAGCCTTGACTAAACAGCCAGGAGTCAGGTTCAAGTTCTGTATATCATATCCTTAGATAGGTGTCTTCAAAGAAGGAGACGTTCTTGTCCCTCTCACATGTCTGCAAGGGATGCTGAGGGGCTGGTGGAGAACATATGTGTAGAGGTGACCAGTGCAGATTGCCTGGTTAGTGCCGGCTCCCCTACTTGGGAGGTGTGTGACTTATAGGCCTTAAGGCTTTGTCTTTGGTGCCTTGTCTGAAAATGATGACAATGATGGTACTTGACCACCTTGTGGAGTGGCTGTGAAAATTAAGATCTCATACATAAAATGTTTATAGACACTGCAGAGTGTATGTTACTTATTATCACTGTGGTATATGTAGGGGCTGGAGTGGGGTTTGTGGGCACAAGATAATGGTGCCTGTTCCAGACAAGCCTCTTCCCTTATAGGCAGTTTCATAGAAAGAGAAAATCAAATCAGGAACACATTCTCTATCAGAAATAATTGTATCATCAATTAAAATATGCTGTTGCTCTCACAATATTACTTAAAAAAAAGACTATTTTGAGGACAAGCTTAAGTTCACAGCAAAATTAAGAAGAAAGTAGAGATATCCAATATATCTCTGGCCCTGACACACGCACAGCCTTCCTTATTATCATATTCCCCCAAGTGTGATATATTTGTTACAATTGATAACATATTGACTCTCAAAATATCACCCAAAATCTATAGTTTAACTTTGGGTTGAGGGATTTGTCTATTCATTCCTTGTCTTTTACCCAACCCACACCTTGCCCATCACAACCACTAATCTTTTTACAATCTCCACTGCTTTTGCCTTTTCCAGAATGCCATGTAGTCAAAAACATACAGTAGATAGCCTTTTCTTCTTGGCTTTTTTTAACTTAATAAATGTTGTTCAGATTTCTCCATGTTTTTGCATGGTTTAAGAGGTCATTTATTTTTAGGGCTGAATAATATTCCATTATCTGTATGTACCACAGTTTATCTACTCATCTACTGAAGGAGATTTCGGTTGTTTCCAAGTGTAGGCAATTAATAGTAATGTTGCTTTAAACAACACACAGGTTTTTTTGTGGACATGTATTTCCAACTCCTCTGGTTAAGTACTAAGGAATGGGATTTCTCAATTATGTAAGAATACATACGGCTTTGTACGAAACCAACAAACTGTCTTTTAAGAGGCTATACCAATCTGTATTCCTACTAGTGAGGTGTAAGGGTCCCTGTTATTCCACATCTTCACCAGGATTTAGTATTGTCAATTGTCCAAATGTTGGCCTTTCTAATATGAAACATGTGATAGGAATCTCATTGTTCTGATTTGCACTTCCTCAGTGATGTAGGACATGGATCATCCTTCCTATGCCTCTGTGCCATGAGTATATCTTCTTTGGTAAGCGGTGGCTGTTAAGGTATTTGGCTCATTTTTAAATTGAGTTGTTTACTTACTGTTGATATTTAAGAGTTCTTGGCATATTTTAGATAAGTTAATTTTCACATCCACTATCTTATTTCTTCTTTGAATGATTTTAAGGGATGAAGGGCTCATGCTCAATATCTTGTTCTGTATGCTTTCCTCAGTAATAGTTTCCTGCTGCTGCTGATTTTCACCAAAACAACAGAAATCTATTCTTTCACCGAAACTGAAGTCCAGAATCAGTTTCACTGGGCTGAAATGAGGGTCTTGGGAGGGACATGTTTCTTCCAGAGGCTGTGAGGGAGAATCTGTCTCTTGTCCCCTGATAGCCTTTCTTGACTTGGGAACACATCACTCCAATCTTCACAGTCATCTCTCTGTGTGCTCTTCTACTTTGCATCAAATTTTTCTCTACCTCGCTCTTAGGAAACGTGTGATCGCATTTAGAGATTAATTGGATCATGTAGGATAATCTTCTTGTCCCAAGATCCTTAACTTAATAACACCTGCAAAGATCTTTTTCCCCAAATACGGTAATATGTATTAGCTTCCAGCAATTAGGATTAGGGCATGGATATCTTTCCTAGGCTGCTGTTTGCTACCACATGCCTTATGCAAATTAAACTGAAAATGTTGAGGCTATCATTGTGAAAATCACGCTAACCATACCATCATAGATTTAACACACAAAAATAACAATATCCATAACACACTTTTTAAAGAATTTTGTTCTGCTTGATGCTCCCTTAGTATCATGCAGGTTGTAATAATAATAACGGAATATTATGCACCGCCCCTGACACCCTCTGGATACCCTGAAGACAGAGTCTGTGTGACTTCCTAAGATGCCATTAGCTGCTCTCACCTCAGCAGCCTGACAAAGTAAATGTGTTTGTTTTTAGCCTGAATTTCTTTTCTCTGGGTACTTACTAGACAGTTTGGCACCTAACACTATTGTGTAATTCTTATTAAAAACTCAACTGTCAGATAGCATGTTGGTGAAGAACTGCCTGAAAACGATCTGTTCTTTAATATAGTTTATATTTTTTCCTGGAACCAAGACAGTTCATTGGGGAGGCACATACCTGAACCCTATTGTCTGGCAGGAAGCTGAGGGGCAGCATTACAGGACATGAAGCCCCACTCCCGCTTGTGTGTGGTGGACTCTGCACATGTGATGTCAGGGAGGAGGCGCAGACAGGTGGCTGTGCCCCCTTGAGGAAGAGATAAGCAGAGCTTTCTCTCCAGACTTGGTGCAGAAGAGCTATTCAGATGAGCAGTATTCATCTCATGCGTTGCTATGCCCCATGTTTTGCCCACAGTTCACTCCAATCCTCGCACAGGTTAGAGCTTCCGGTGTGAATTTCCATGTGATGACTTTACTCTGGTTTTATCAGGTTTTCCCTTCTCTCTCTTTTTTTCCCACTTAAAATACAATCACGATATATGATTGCAACACATGAGCACATTTCAGTATGCTATTTTAAATCCCTTTTCCAGTCCCTATCAAAAGCAGTGTGGTTTATGAGAATACTAAAAATGGGTCTTCCGCATGACCCAGCAATTCCACTCCTAGGTACCAAAGAACACGAAAACACTAACTGGAAAAGAAAGCCGCACTCCTGTTCACTGCAGCACTATTTACATTAGCCAAGATATGGAAACAACCTCAGGGCGAAAAAACAGATGCGTGGATCAAGAGGTGGTATACGTACACAATGGGTAAGGAGTTGTTAAAACCACAGATAGTATTTTTTAAAAATAGATGATTGACATATGGTATGATCTACACATTTTTTGGAAAGGAAAAATAAAGTAAAAAATAGGAACTACTTCAATGTGGCAGCGCACTTGAAGCTGGATGTGATCTGAGGCCGGCCCTCCTCTGCCCTGCCTAGCAAGGCCTTCACTCTGGTACCAGGCAGTCGGCCGCAGCATTTGAAAATACCAGCTACAAAACAACCTTAAAAGACTTAATTGTGCTGACAGTAACACAGTTCCCTTTGTTTCAGAAGCCACAATTGCTTATGTGGCTACTTTTCTCTCCTGTTATAGATTTAGGGTGCCCCTTGAGGAACACCATCACTACTCCTGATCAGCAGGAACCCCAGAACACCACAGGGATGGACCAGCACTTTTGCATCCCCCTGATCAAACTGCCCCTTGATAACTGAGCCCTTCTTTACCATTCACTGCAATTACATAAAACTCCCTAAAGCTGCTCAATTGCTCTTTATCCCAAAAGTCACCTGGGAAACAGGCACTCCACATTTTCACATACGACACTTAGGGCATAGAAAGTGAAGAATGCCACACAAGGTGATAGAAAAGGGTTTGTTTCATTTTTATTAACAAGTGAAAACTTATCACATACAGGAGATGACTTCATTTTATAAACAAAATTGACTCAGAAATCATCCCATGTGGTTAAATTCAGGGGCAGTGAATACTGAATTTGCTGTAGTAGCCTTTGAAATACTATTTTTTTTTTAGCTGACTAGTGAAGAAGAGGGTAAAGCCAACCTTGCCTTTGGAACCTTATCCACTGCTAGTGACAGAGCCTTCCTGTCTGTTGGTACATTTCCAATAAATGTGTGAAAAGTACATACTTATCCCACTTTAGTTCCTAACCTGGGTGTTTTTATTGCTATTGTTATTTGCATATAGTCCTCTTTTCCCTTTTTTGCAGTCAATGTTTATTTGATTTAAAAGAAAGTATATTGTAGGAAAACTAATGAGTATTACACATAGAATAACTTCATATACATAATAGAGGAAGAGAAATCTCCATTAAAAAATAGATGATTAAACAAAAATGTGATTAAATATATTATAATAAATATTTTTGGATTCAATTATTAGATGAACACACGACCAAATTAAGATAACAAGTAACTTTAACTGATAGGGTCAATTATTTGTTTTCAAGAACTATGTAATATTTACAAACATGCACAAATAATATTTAAAATTAACTGATGACAAAGCAAAGCATAAAACAGACACCCTGGAAATGTGGACACCCGTGCAGTTAACCCCAGAGAGAAAATGGGAAACCTTAAGAGCCAACCAAACTTTTTATTTTCTTTCCTTGAGCTGGTATAAAATGAAAACCTCTAGTTACATGATACTTGACAGTGTTGACAGTTTTTTAAACTCTCATTTGCTATTTATAAAAACCCTTGTAGAAAGTAGGAGGAGTGCCTGTTATTCTCATTTTTTAAAATAAGGAAACAGAGGCTCAGACTGGTCACGTGACCTACCCAAAGACAAAGGACTAGAACTGATGACAGTGGGTTGACTCCCAGTTGGCTGGCCTGCAGGTAAATCCTGTTCTGTTTGGCCATTATAGCTGCAATTCTTTTCACAGGAAATGCTGATGTGCCTGAGGGAAAATCCACTCTATTCAAAGGTTGTTTCTCTTATGTTTCTTTTTTTAACAAATCAAGAGTAATGTTTCTGAGTTCATTCAACAACTAAACCATTTGTACATTTTTCTGAAAAACAAAAACTTCAACTTACCCTTTTACGGAGTTTTTCTGCAGCATCAAGCTCAGCTTTAATAGTCTTATCAAATTTATTTAGTAACTTGGGCTTCTTTTTCTTAACTGAAAGAAAAAAAGAGGGCTTTATTTATTTTCTTGTCAAAAAGTAGTTATTAAGGATAGTGATTTAAAATAGTAAGTTAGTATCAGTCCAAACCTAGAACTGTGGGAGCAGGCACACTCCTGCCTCACCTTCTACACCCTAAGCCCCCCACTTCCCCATATGACAGTCTGTAACTGTAATAGGGTGGTTCTCAGGGAAAGAGGAGGCAGGTTCCCTGCCCCAATTGAAGAAGGGTGGAGCTGAGCAGGGTGGAGGAGAGGTTGGAGAGGAGACTGGGGAAGGAAGGTAGAAGGATGGAGAGCCAGAAGGAGGCCTGGAGGAGACACATGGAGCAGAGAGACAAGTGAAGTTGAGATTGCTTCTTGGCCTTGGACTTGTACCAGGGACTTGGGGGACATGGAAGGCAGCATCTGACACAGAGATTTGGGTGAGAGACTGGTTGGGAGGATGATGACAGCAGCTTTTATCTTGATTTTGATTTTTTTCTTTTCCTTCCAGACTCACCTGGCTCCTTCTGCCCCCTTTCTCTGGTTCCTCACCAGAAGGTGTCTTAGACTTGTAGCAAGCTTTTGGGCCTCACTGGTCCTGCTTTGGGCCAACACTGTTTGGCTAGGCATTTACCCATTAGGGGATGGGTAAATTTGGGTGTTTTGTGTGAAAAATTTTATCTACTCTTTCCCTTCTCTTCTCTTTTTTGCACATGAATTGTGTTAAAGTTCCTTTCCAATAAAGGTCTTATGCACCATAGAATGTTTGTCTTGATGTGGTGGATGGCAGACCTATTTAGAGTGGGCAGATTTGTGGGTTCTGGGGTGCCCTTCACCCTGCCCTGTAACATGACTGCCAAGTCACAGGGAGACAACACAGCCCTTATAAGCTCTATGGTGAATTTAGTGTAACTCCCTTACCATGATTTTATTTTTCATGGTTATAGTAACCCATGGTAAAGTGCAATGCAAAAATATTATGGACAAGAAGACATTTTGAGGGAGAGAACATTCACAAAACTTTAATTACAGTGTATCGTTATGATTGTTTTATTTTATTAATAGCTATTATTTTTAATCCCTTACTAGGTCTAATTTATAAATTAAACCTAATTTTTTAAAGATTTATTTATTTATTTATACAAGAACTGAGGTACAGGCCAGAGGCATGGGAGGACAAGAGAATTCACCAGAGACAAAGCGGGGAGCAGACCAGGCAGACGGACCAAAAACACTAATGAGGGGAGCAGTGGGCAAGACAGGAGATGTCTGCTGCACCAGGTTGGTTGCTCCTTGGCTGGCCGGGAATCAAACCCACACTGCAGAGGCTGTGGACAGCTTCACAGCGCTGTGCTCAACCTGCTGCGCCACCGGGGAGGCCCTAAATTAAACCTTATTATAGGTATGTATGTACAGGGGAAATATAGGGAACATATAGGGTTTGGCGTACTGTCTGTGGTTTCAGGCAACTACTAGGGGTCTAGGAACTTACCCTTGTGGGTAAGTGGGGACTGCTGTTCTGGCATCTGGAAATACTCAGGACATTGACCTAGTTTCTGGAATGAAAATGATAGATATGATTTCTAAATTCTTATGATACACTTCTTGTCTAAGTCCACAAGAGTATTTAAAATAACTTTTGAATATATATTATGTTTTCTGATTAGAGAAAGATAAAAAAAATGAAACTATTCTCAAGGAAATCAAATAGAATAGAATTTCTCAGTCTGACATGAAAGTGTTTCTGATGTGCCCAAGATTGGCGGACTCAGCGAGCATAGCCTCCAAGAACCCAAAGACAGCCAATGCAAACACAAAAGGGAGTTTATTACAGACTCGAGTCCAGGCTCAGGGCACCTACCGATGCAGCAACAGATATCGAGAGCCCCGAACAAAGGAAGCAGGGGTTTTTAATAGAGTTAAATCATGCTGGCAGTTACTCATTGACTACAAGGATGCGTTCTTCAACTTTGCCCGGCTATAATTCTAAGCTGACTGGCCCGGCCGAGATGCAGCTCCAGCCTGCAGCTCCAATTACGGCAAGTTCGCCCTCATTGGTGACCGGAGGGCGAGGGTAGAGTGAGGGTCAAAACTGTCAAAACTATCTCTGGAATGCAGTCATCATTCCTGGGACAGCAAAACCTAAAATTTTAAAATGGCTGTTACACACAAAATGACAAAGCAATGGCTAAGAATACTTATGCTTGGTTCCATATTTCCATGGCATCATGGACCTTACCCACTCCAGCTCCATTCCACACTTCCAATGGAGGTGCCACCTTTCCCTGAGAAGCTGTATGCCACTTCTAATGCAACTTTTTCTAAATAAAATGGCCTATTTCTTATCTTTGACAGTGGAAAATATGCCCATCTTTCAACAAGTAGCTGAAAACCATATTCCTTATAAAGTTTCTCCAGATATCACTCACACAAGTGCTCAGTTCCCTATCTCCTCCAGCCCCCTCTCACTTTCTTTCTCCTGCAGCCCACAGCAATCTGCAAAATATTTTTCTCTTGTGCTCCTTCCCCATATGACTCTCATTATAATCATGTGGCCACTCAGTCCCATTCCAAACCGTAAGCTCCTACAGAGTGGCACCTATCACATTTAAACTGAACGTACTCATGCTTACCCAGCATGAAGTGCCTGTGTGTGGGTGTGTGCACCTGCACGGGAGGGGGTGTTCTGCACACCTGGCAGTACCCGTGTAGCGGATAGATGCTCAGTGTTCTCTGGAAGCCTAAAATAAATAGTCCTGGTTAGGGCTCAGTAAAGTGTGGATGCAGCTCTGAAGGCTAAGTCGGAAGTTCCAGTTAGAGAAGGAAACTAATGGTGGGGCAGGTAGAGAGGAATGAGAACTATCAGAAGAACACTTCCTCAATGTTCCGACAGTCAACTGACCAATTCAGTTGCTTCTGCTCTATCCTGTCACTAAGGAGGAAGGCTCCTCCTAAGTCACCCTGTCTGCCTTCTACCGTCCTCAAACCCATCTACATTTAACCACGCTGGGCACCTACCGACGCAGCAGTAGGTCACCTTAAAGCAAACACTTGTCATCTTAAAGCAAACAATCCGATAAACAAGACAAACCTCAGCCTGCCTACCTTCCTGTATTAGCCATTTCTCCTTCTCCTTCTCTTGTGCTCCTGCTCTACTCACAGAGCTCTGGCTTCCCCACTCACCACATGGGTAAAATCAAGACTTCTAGAAGGAAGGAGAGCTCAGTGGTTAGGAGTCAGGTGACATGGGTCTGAGTCCCAGCTCTATCCCATCCCAGTTCTGTGATCTTAGCCAAGCTGGTTCTAGGCTTTTCTTACTCTCACTTAGCTAATCTATAAAATGGAGGTAGCATTTTCAAGAACTGTTGGTATTATACAGCACAGTATCTGGCATCTAGTAAGATTTCCATAGTTGAGAGCTCTTGTGATCTTAGCCAAGCTGGTTCTAGGCTTTTCTTACTCTCACTTAGCTAATCTATAAAATGGAGGTAGCATTTTCAAGAACTGTTGGTATTATACAGCACAGTATCTGGCATCTAGTAAGATTTCCATAGTTGAGAGCTCTTAAGTCATAATGGTTTTGACTTTCTCTGCAAGTCCTTTTGCTCCTTTTCTGTCCACCTGACCTCTCTGTGACACCTGACACAGCTGACTTCTCCTTCCTCCTTCCTGAAATGACCCCTTTCCTGACTTCTGTGTCTCCTGTTCTCACAGTTATCCCCCTTATTCTCAGGCCTCTCCGCTTCCTCTCTGTTGCCTATGTGACCCAGCCTTCTGGGATTAGACCTTAACCATCTAAAGGGATTTAACACTTTAATTCCAAACCAAGCTATAGATCCACTAGAATTTTCTCCTTCTTTATAAATATAACACAGATGGTTCAAGTTTACTAGATCAGAGATGGAATTTATTATTCCTCACAAAACTATTCCTTTTCCTGTTTACCCTATTTCAGAGGATAGAGCCATATTTATTTGGTTTCCCAAATCACAAACCTGGTTAGAGAAGGCCAGTAAAACAGCAAAGAAGGTATTTGTGGAATTGGCCAAATATTGAACAAACCCACTACTTTTTTTTTTTTTATTCACTAACTCCATGTCCATGTTGTATAAATATTCTCTTAACTTCCCAGACACTGGGGATTTAACTTCACAGATGGACCACTGAGGTTCCAGAAGGAACTTGTATTTTTCTCTCCCCCACACAAAGGAAGGGGCGCCTATTTTTCACTTCTATGGTTTCCAAAAGGAGGGAAGTTTCCTGTAAGTCCCTAGGCCCCTGCCTTTTCCCACAGGGGAAGTGGTGTTACTTAGCCTCTGCCTCTTGGGAAAAGAGACAAGCAGAGAAGCTCAGTCCTGTCACTTCCTCCTCAAGGCAAATGTTCTCTCTCACGTGGGAGAATGAGGCTGTTCCACACTGCCTGAAGTGGGTGGGTATATCTAATTCTGGGGTTCAATATTAGGAAACATATTATTCGTGCTCGTCTAAGTCCCATCCTTTAATTCAGTTCTCATCAGAAGCAGACTGACACTTTGATCATCCTTCCTTTGTCTCACTCCTTGTGCATTTTTTAGATCACTGCTCTTTCATTTGTTCTACCTACCTCTTCTCTCCTCCCAGGACCCTCAGACCTTCTCTTGTTGAAAAATATGAATGTCTAAAGCAGAGACTGAGAAAATGGTGGAGAAGAGGCATTTTCAACTGCATATCATTATACATTAGATACATGCTGAGGATATGGGAAATGACTGACACTTGACTGAGATGCGAGTCGATAGTGGTGGGAGTTAGTCTTGTCATCTCAGGACTGATTTAAGTATCTCAATTGTTCATTTTGATTTTTAGAAGAGTCTGTGAGGAATGAAAGCAGACCAGGGCAGACTGGTGAGCCCAAGAGTAGACGGTTTTCCAGCTAGCTTTATCAGCCTGTCCCAATATGTCTTCTGGGATATAAAGTTAACATGAGATTAATTTATAAGGGAAAAAAACAAACCACTATTGGCAATTGAAGA